GGGAACCAAGAGGAGACGAGAGAAAGCCAAGAGGGGGGGCGAGTTGTGGAGGGCGCGACCACTGCCCACCAACACCGCCAATGCCCAGCGAGACAGGCCCAGGAGGCACCAAGAGTTGTTCGGTGGTGGGCGTCTCCGACGTCGCTAAAGCCTAAAAGGACCTGTCGTAGGCGAGCCTCAAGACACTCTCGGCCACTAGAAACCATTATCGCCATGGATGGGGGTCACCGGGCAGATTGTCACAGCATCGATGGCGTGCCAAAGGGCCCCCTTGTATGGAACTCGCAGGTACGTATGACTGCCACGCGACTATCGATGTCCCGTGTAACTATCTCACTGCCTTGCCTCGATGTAGTATCTTCCGAATATCAAATTAATATCATTGTTTCCGTCTTCCCAAGGTTCTCTACTCGGTAGATATTCCCAATTCTCCTTATCGTGCTGTGATTATGTGTTGTGCTTACTTCATACCATCTCAACGAGGAATTCTTCTGGAACACTCAGCACCATAATCATCCTGCCTGCAGCCCACTAAACGGCAATTCGGATATCGGACGCAGTTTCTGAAAGGTACTTCTACTCTGTACATCCAGATCCGCCCGATAAAGCTCCCGTCAGAGATCTTTTCTGCTCTGTTTTCCCTCATGATAAGCTCCCTCCGTGCCATCCGGTCTCCATGTCCGCGCCTTTTTCACCCTCCTCTGATAATTCGGCCTTTTCCATCCCTGCTTCACTTGAATCATATTTCGGGCTCTGTCGGCTGGCCCCAAGTAAACCTCGCGATGAGGCAGACTACTGTATCTAATGTTCCAGGGGTGTGCCGCATCGCCCTGCCCCATCGGGAAAAAGAGTGTCTACATCTCCATGTTTCGCCAACATCGCTCCTTGGCTAACGCTACAATCATTGGCTCCCCCTATGTGATATGCTTCAGTATACTCCGTATCATTATAGCGTGTGACAGAGCATCTTTCTATTATGTGTCTCGTCGTAAAATTGCTTCTTTGCGAACGGACATCGACGCCCTACTCCTCGCTGCCAGTTACTCTTGTCGGTCACTGGGTTGACTATCCGCTCCATCATCATCCACAACTCCAGATATCTTCCTGCAGATCCTTCTTGCCTCCTCCGGCATCGTCTTCCAGAGGACCTGCCGAACTTCTTTTCCCACCTGCTCCACAGCATCCATCGCCCAAAGCACATCGAGATGCTCGTACTCCTCAATCACCTTGCTGTGCACCACCTGCACGAACGGTTCGCGTCCTCGTTCAAGCCTCCTCAAGAGTCTCCGGCCATCGACGAGATCGTCGCTTCCAGCAACCCACAATGCCAGTGGAGGAACATGCTCGTCGTACCATGCAGTTCTGCCTCGATCGTACCCGTCGGACATGGGACGCTCTGGGCTTTCCTCTTCTTCTGCCTCCTCACTATCCTCCACATCTTCCGACCTTCCCTCTTCCCGTGTGGCCAAGATGCACTTTTGCTTTGCAAAGCACTCTCGACCCAGCCACCATCTCATGCTCTCCGCACTTACGTAAACGGGTGAGAATTGAAAGAGTCGATCCCGAAGACCTCGATCCCATCGTGTGTCCGTCCAGTCAAAGAGGAACGCGAAGACCCGGTAGCCCATGGCACCGTAAAGTTTGCCAGGCAACGTGCGGTGCATAGCCATCATCAGTGGGATGAAGCTGTGAATGCCGAAGAAGACCCTGAACATCGACGGTGAGATCACGCGCATGAACTTGAAATACATCTTCCCGATCAAGGGGCCTGCATACACTGCAGGGGCAAGAGCGCAGAAGACACTGATCTTGTCCCCTAGATCCGGTCGCTGCTCTTTCGCCAACGCTACGAATGCCTCCGTCGTACCTTGGCTGTGACACACCAACCCGAGCTTCTCCAACCCTGTTTCCTCAAGAACTCGAGACACAAACGCCGGAAGGTCCATCACCCCCATCTGCCGAGTATTCCAAGCCCACATTCGTGGATCGTGATGCTGGAGTAGACTGTGCTCGGGACTGAAGCCGCAACGGTTGTTTCCTAACCATACATCGTACCCCGACTTGCAAAGAAGGAAGGCCAAACTGTCGTCATCATTCGCACAATAGGCACCGGCGCTCTGCAGGAGCCCATGCACGAGCAACACGGGGTATCTTCTGTTTCCATCAGCGTACTGCTTCTGCATGTGCAGATGGGGGCCATCTTTTGGATCTCTGAAGACGACAGGCTCGTCGGGTTGTCGCACCACATCCGGACTGGGTGTGTATTCTGCAGGGTAGTAGATATGCCACAGTGACAGGATGAAACCGTCTTCTGTGCGTACTTTATACTCTTCTGCATCTAGACCCACTCGTCGTGCGTAGTACCTGATGTCGCAGACTAGCTTGTCAGGTCCTCCCTCAAGCGGCACATATGGCCCTTCCGAGGAAGCCGGCGACTTTATTTTACCATTTGGCCCAGCCACGCCTTCATTGATCGTACGCCTTTGCCATTCCTTCTCTTGCTCCAGGCGTATGGCTGAGCGTCTTCTTTCTTCATCATAGAACGGTCGCTGTTTGTACGGATCCCGAAAAGTGAGCCACAGCCAAGCATAATTCACAAAGTGAGGTATTGATGTAAACAATGCTCCTAACACGATGACAGCAAGAAAGGCCGTTGAAAGCAAAGCTGATGTGGTTCGGAGTATTGCACACTGAAGCTCTCGTAGTAATGACGGAGGCCCGTAAAGCGGCAATGGAGGAAACAGGGGGTGGGTATGCAAGACCGGAATTGCTTCGTCTAATCGGCTGGATTCGCTTTCCCGATCATCTTTGGCTAACTCGTTCCGATCAACTGCTCCAGGCCCAGCCTTCTGCCTGTCGAATCGGCTTAACCCTCGCGGTCGTCCCGGACGGTATGGTCGACCTTCAGATCGACTCTTCAACAGGTTGATCTTATGTGCTTCCTGGACGGGGACAGCCGGCAATCTGTTGCCGTCTGCGGTCTCGATGACCGGGTCGAGTGGAGTGATGAACTTGGCTTCAACGGCGTGACCATGCCCATGGCCGTCTTCAGTTGTCTGGGATGAGGATTCAAGTGATAGCTTTTCGGCCTGTTGCTCATAATCGGCGGCTGCATGAGCGCGAGTTCGCAGCTCAGTCTGCGACATCTAGAGTCCCTAAAACTCGCGAAGCGATCAGTTGTTGCTGGTGTGCTGACTGCTGATGTCATAGATATCTAGTAATGGACCAAACCAATGATATACTAGCCCTCTAACAAAAACAAAGGGGGCAACTTCGAGACTTCAATCCTAAGGAGACAAAGTGAGTGAACGAGAAAGGGGAGGGAGTGGAAAGAGTGACTTGTTTATCGATACGAGGGAAGTTTGTCTCATACACGATACTAGGCACATCCAAACCTCACAAACCTGAGCTTTCCAAGGCAAAATTGCGCTGCAATGATCATTGGTTGAATCGTGCTCCCGCACTTGGAGAACCTGTCGATCGCGGAGACGAGGGTCGATATCGCAGGGAAATGAAAGAGTGCTGAACCAGATCTACGATGTCATTGCTTGTCCAAGCAAATATCGACATCATAGCCGCGTGTTGGGTCGAGCCAACAGCGAAAAGTTTCAGTCTGATTGCGCCACTTCTGGCTGGGAAACGGACAGCAGCCGAGCCACTCGCGATGTTGTGCAGGTTGTGCCAACTTTTCACAGGCGAGACTCCAATGAAAAAGGCAGATATATCGATTGGTCTATCGAGGGGATGTCTCATGACAATCAAATCATTGATCACGAGTTGTAATATGCAGCAAGCAATGGCAGATGTTTCACCCTATCAATTCTGCCGAACCAAACAGGCCTGAAGCGCATTCATCTCTTGGCATCAAAGGCTGTGGGAAGCTGCTCGGAGGAAGGAGCGCAGAGCGGCGGTCACGATTTCTGACTCGGGACGAGGCCAAAGCTGAACTTAGGTGCCGGTATAAGACCACAAGCTACACTGAGATTTGCTCGCGGCACCAACACAAGCCGTCCACCATGCTCTTCTTCAGGTACTCCCCCATGCAACTCTCCCCCCAGTACGTCCACACAGGCCACTTGCGGCTGACAGAAGAATGAATAGCTTCTTCAAAACCCTAACCCAACAAACCGTCACAGTCGAGCTAAAAAACGACATCTCCATCCGCGGCACCTTGAAATCCGTCGATCAGTACTTGAACATCAAACTCGACGACATCACGGTCCTGGATGAACTGAAATACCCGCACTTGTCCTCCGTGAAGAATATCTTTATCAGAGGCTCGGTGGTACGGTACGTGCACTTGCCGCCCGACAAGGTCGACAGGGGACTCTTGGAGGATGCGTGTCGGAGGGAAGCGATGAGTCAAAAGGGGAAAGGAACTTGAATGAAAGGGATGATGAAGGCATAAACCGTGAGCTAGCTGCAAAATACTGTTAGCATGGGCACCACCAAATGGCAGAATCAAAATGGAAGGATTAATTGCCTGGACCTGTTATACCACCAACAGGGTCTTTGCGACGTGGTCACGGCTCGGCTGGCACAGCCGGGAACAGTGAGGACCAAGGAGAGAGATGGGCCGCTAAGGTCACACTCGTATGCCCCATGTTGGAGCTGATTCCATCACCTGCGAAGCCATCCAGAAGTTGGAAGAGACATTGCCGGCGATCATTCCACAGGGATGAGCTATCCAGGGGAATGTTTCTGGCAGAATCACTCCCCAATCGCAGAGCACCATTCGGGTACTAAAACAGAGTGCCTCCCTGGCAAATGATTGCGTGGGATCAAACGAGGGTTCCAAAACACCGATTTTTGGCTTGTTTGGTATCAGCCATCTGCTACGGAGAACATATGGTGTGCTGCTATCCATGAATGGTCTGCCACACGAATAAGAATTACAATAGCCTCGTCGTTTTATGCGCATCTCTCGAGTCGGCAACTGTGACCGTTACAGTCCCCAGACAGCCGACAACCTTCGACTTGGACATTCATCAATCGTACTTTTACACTCCGTAACTCAACTGGCCATCTCCGCTCCCCCAACCCTCGGCCTCAGCCTGGACCGTAAACAAACCATTCTTCCTCTTTTCCGCCTCCCACTTCTCAATCCACGCCTTCATTTTCTCTCTAGTCCTCGCACTGCCCACATTCACCGTTGGCACAATCCGGTTGATGCGCAGCGCGCAGCAAAACATGGTCAACTCTCGAAAGGAGCTGTGCTCTGAGTACGGGACCCCAAAACAATTGGATTCCCGGGTGCTTCCACGCTGAGGAGCCAGGTCATGCATCGTGTATCGCGTTTTCCAGCCGTCGGAATGCAGGACGGTACTGACGGCGGGGTTCTCAGTGAAGCGTGACGTTGGAGGACGATAGGACCAGCCTGTCGGCCGGAAGCCGACTACGCGGGCGAAGTGGCCTTTATAGGTCATCATGTAGTCGCGCAGTGTTTCGGCTCGGATCTCCATTAACGTTTGCATGTGGACCTGTGCTTCGAGCGGGTTGTTGGTTAGTCGGGCGTTAAGTTCGGGATCTTCGAGACATAAGCAGATGCGCATCTTTGAGGGAGGAGCATAGATCTTGGAGTTCAGCGCTTTGGCGATTCCTAGGCAGATCCGCTCCTTGCCAATCGAATAGGTGCCAATGACGACGAGAAGCCGTCCTCTCATTTTTGGTTTCGTTTCTGTCTCCTCGTCATTTGTCTTGTTGATATTGGTTTCGCCCTGTTCGAGAAACTTCTTCATCGTACTACCGGCGCGGTTGGCTTTGACTTTCTCCCAATCGTCGTTTTCATCCACAATCTCCTTCGATAGACTAACACACATCTGAGCACAAGCGTCAATGACGTCGTGCTGGCTGGGAAATGCGTATTTTGGGGTCAGATACGTCGTGTCCAGGTAGCAGGTGTCAATGACTTGCTGCTTTGTCAGGCCGCTAACGCCGTCAACAACATCAGGCCGTAGAAGGGGATGAGCGACATGCGCAGGGCAAGCCCGAAAGTCACCACAATGCAGAATTCGAGTCAGTTTCGGGGATCCATCTTTGTTCTTACCCATGACCTTTTCGAAGAGGTAGAGCGACGAGCCAGGACAATGGTTGGCAGGAATCATGGTGACGAAGACTCCCTTTGTGTTCGGGATCTCGACCTTTTTCTCGAATTCGAGGGGAACTACCCATTTTGGATCGACTTTCAGCTGCTGAATCATAAGGTTGCAGGTGACTTTGCTGGCGTAGATCGGACCATGGCACCACGAGGACGTGAGACCAATGTAGTGGTCACTGTGGAAATGACTGAGAAAGTATGCATTCTGATTTTCAACCTTGCCGTATCGGAAGGCGTCGACACAGATGTAAAGACCAGGCATGATTTTATAAAAGGGGCAAGTCCGCTGATACGCCGGTTTCCCACGAGACTGCGCCTCATGAGCAGCGGCTTCAGCCCAAGCAGCGTCTTCTGCATGGCCAGACATGAGCCTAGCAAAAGCGGAGCCTCCTTTTGCATTTTTCGACACGGCAAAAGGATTGGATTGGGCAGGACGAGCAATTGCTGCACGCTGAAAGCGTTTCGAGGCAGAAGCGGCTGCACCGGGCTCGCTGAAGGCGTCAGTATCGATCGCTGTCTTAAATTCGGTCTCTTTTGGTAGTGGTTCAGCATTGCCATCAAGGCAGGCATTGACATGAGCCGACGCCTGAGTTTCGGATAATGCTCTCATGCTCCCATTACATATTGGACAGACAGAAACTCCATGAGTTTCCTCAGCTTCGATTTGGACATCATTTTCGACTGCACTCCGAGGGGTCCTAATGCCTTCAGCCTCCGACTTTGAGTCCTCGTCGTCAAATTCCATCCCCATCTCTCGTTGCTCCTCCATCCATCTGCGCTCCATGTATTCTTCCCCTCCTTCAAAGAATTCGTCGTTCTCAAAGTCGTCGCCGAATTCTCCAGGCTCGAAAACGTTTGTGGCTTCACGCGTCAAGAGTGGGACATCCCTTCGAGAGATTTTTGGATCTTCATACCTATCTTGGTCCTCGGAATGGATTCTCCTGGAAGCAGTGCCCGAGTCAGATTGCTTGGAGGGAAATTTTGTCGTACCGGATCCTGCATCGACGTCAATGTCGCCCAAAGACTCCATGTTCCCGGTTTCTCGTACTTTATCTGTGATATCGGCGTCATTGGGAGCGCTATTGATGGCTGCAGTCCAATCATTATCTTCCTCGTCGCTTGAGTCGTCCAGGAATCCGCCTCTGTACTTCTTGGGTTGGTTTATTAGCTCTGTATTCCCGTTTTGTGGGTTCTGTTCATTCATGGCCTCGCTAGCGCAACCCTCAAGTCTAGGGGAAGGTGTGCGGACAATGTCTTCGAAGTCGTCATCGTCGTTGATCCGCCTCTTCTTGACAGACCCGCCGTCTTCGTGGAATCGGGTATCTGCCTCACCCAGCCTGGGCTCTTCCTGTACATCCTTAAAAAACAGCGGAGGAGGAGTGCTTGCATTTGGTCCGTTTAGATTATTCCTGTCCGACTTTGCAAAGAAGTTGAGGATGCTCTGATTCTGACCAGACCCGGCCTTCTTCCCTGAAGGGATCTTGGAGGCGGGCTGGCGACCAGCGGCTGGAGTCTTGGACATTGGATATCGCTTCTTTGTGGAGCGGTCTGCAGCCTCTTTTGCGTAGCCGGCGGGCAATGAGAAGTAAGGACTCGATTGAGGCCCTGAAACGGGAGGAGAGGGAGCGCGGCCAACGTAAGGCAGGATTCGCTCGTCTATTGGGAGAGATACATTTTCTCGAGGGTTGCGAAACATGTTTGCAGGATTGGATGCGTCGCCGGAGGAGCAGGAACCATCTTCCCAGAATGATGGAAGGTTAAAAAAGTAGATGGCGGTCCTTTGGTCAGGCAAGCATTGAATCTACCGCGATGTGCTAAGTATAAGTTGGGTGTCGAGGGTGTTTTTTCCCTCCAGGCGGCAATTGGACTCATGACGCGCTCTATGCCGAAAACAAGCTGCCCACGACACCCCCACCTTTTTGTCTACTCTCTCCTACTACAACAATTAAAATGAAATTGTATTGTGCCCTCGACATCTCGAGTTTGGGATTGTATTCTCAGAGCTCATCATGGGACAATTGGCTACTTAATTGAACTGCATTGTGGTCAGTGGCGCAAAGAAACGCGAATTCACGTGCACCGCTCTGCTCGCCAAAAACTACCCAACCAACTACCAATCTCGCCTACCGCGAAAGCACCTGGTGACGCGACGTCTTGATAATCGGGGATAAACGATGTCATTGCTCTCTGCCCTTTTTTTTCTGATTCTCTTCCACGGCCACCTGAGTCTGCCACCCCAACTTGCTCACCGCTGTAGAGCGGCTTGCAGGTAGCCAGTCCAGGGCGCATGTCGGCGGAGATCGAGCGTCTCAAGGACGAGGTAAGTCAAGATACTGCACCCCTCTGTACGGGGCAACCTATGCTCCACTTGATCGATTGGCTTATCTTCTCTCTTTTACTCCAGGGCACGAGACAGCAAGTCGTAATTGCCGGTGGTATCGCAGGCCTCGTGTCCAGATTCGTCATCGCTCCTTTGGACGTTGTCAAAATTCGGCTCCAGCTTCAGCCTCATTCGCTCTCCGACCCATTATCATGCGATGGCATCAAAGGCCCAATCTACAAGGGCGTCTTTTCCACCCTGCGTGCAATCGTGAGAGATGAGGGTATTCGAGCGCTGTGGAAGGGGAATATTCCCGCTGAACTCATGTATATCACTTACGGCGGCGTTCAATTTACGGCTTATCGCTCCATTACTCAAGCTCAGGCTATGCTTCCGACGCGTCCACCGCCATCGCTGGAATCCTTCATCAGCGGTGCTGGAGCAGGCGCCGCCGCAACTTCAATCACTTACCCGTTGGATCTTCTCCGGACACGGTTTGCTGCACAGGGGCCAGAGAAGATTTATTCAGGACTCGCCAACTCCGTTCAGGACATTCTTCGACGCGAGGGACCCAGCGGCTTCTTCCGGGGTCTCAGCGCCGCCCTGGGTCAGATTGTGCCTTACATGGGCCTCTTCTTCATGAGCTACGAATTCCTCCATCAGTACATAGGGGGCAAAACCTTACCCTTTGGATCCGGTGATGCCACGGCTGGTGTATTTGCCAGTATTTTTGCAAAGACCGCTGTTTTCCCGCTGGATCTGGTCAGAAAGAGATTGCAGGTCCAGGGGCCGACGAGAAGCAGGTATATTCACACGAATATTCCCGAGTATACGGGCGTTGTTCGTTCTTTAGCGACCATTTGGAGGAAGGAGGGATATCGCGGCTGGTACCGAGGACTGACTGTCAGTTTGATCAAGGCAAGTCTTTTTCTCTCCCCTGTCAGTGTCTGTATCCGCGTGCTGACACTTGGTATGCAGGCCGCTCCAGCATCGGCCGTCACAATGTGGACGTATGAGCGTGTAATGCATTCACTGGTTCACTCAAATAGGAACGATGAGATGTGGGAAACTTATACTGGCTACGATGATGATTACGATGACTAAATCTTGACAGGACATGATGGCGTTTCAATCTCTCTGAAGCATGGAGTTGAAGGCTGCGCGAATGGTGAATAGTGTGCTACCTACATTGGCCATCCACTGTGCACAAAATGGCATTTTGGGTCATTGCTCGCCATATTATTCAGGAGCTTCCGCGCCATTGAAAGGAATCAGCGATAGAAGGCAGGCACCGAAGGAAAGTGCGCGTTGGGGAGAACGTTCGAGCCTCGAGGCGGTGGCCATCTGTCGCATTGTCAGCAGCAGCAGCAGCAGCGATCGTTTTCACTCCTCGGTGCGACAGAACGAAGCCGGAGTTTCATTTTCATTTATTTTTACTTTTTTGTCAATCGACCTTGTCCTCCTACATACAAGTCACAGAGGGTGAGTGAGTGAGTGAGTTAGGGGAGCGCACAACGTGTGGGCGCCACAACACGGCACTGGCTGACTGAACCCCCTGATAGATGTATATCATCATCAACCTCTCGCCTTCGGTTTCGTCTCGATAACACTCGAGCTTGGGTCATCGAGTGCCCCAGAAAACCGCGAAACTCGGGCTATTGCTACGACAGTCACGTTTCCTGAGGACTAGGTTTTGAATAATCCAATCAACGGCAAAGTGGTGATCATCTCGTTTTGTGGGGGGTTTGACAACGGAATGATCACGGGCAAGGACGGCAGATTAGACTGTGTATTGATCGCACGGATCCATCGGTCCATCCGCTTGAGCTGATAGAGCTGATGGATGTTGGGGAGGCATGGAGACAGGCAGCTTGCACAAGGCCTGCGAGGGGGTCAAGGGGTTTGCCATGTGTCCATTGCAGGGTATCTATTCTGGCAAATTGTATAACAGACGGTTTTCGCAGGAGCATAAAAGTGATCTCCTTATGTAGTCTTTATCATGGCATCGGCCACAGGTCATACCCCTAATGACGGTCTTCTCAGTGGCATTCTACATGGTCTAATTCGTCACCTCCCAAAGTTGAAATTCGCACCGGCATATTTCCACAGCGCCCTGAGGAAGGCTTGGTACTCGACCCTGGTACTGCCGCTTCCCGAGACATCGCCGCCGGAGTCGCCCACGCAGAAGATCTCGCTCAGCCGGATCTGCCACGGCGGGTAGCCGTCGAGCTTTACGACGGGGCCAAAGACGATGACCAGGTCTGGTTCTCCTGCTCCGACCTCCCTCCCGGCGGGTCTGTTGTCGCCGATCGTGAGCCGCGCATCCGGGATTGCCGTGGTCGCGCTGATTTCCGTGTTGATGAGGTTCGAGGTAATGTCCTTGGGACGGAGCTTTTGGGCCTGCGCCATCTCGGCCAGCGTCCTGGTCAGGTCGACCAGCGTGTCTCGCCCGTCTGTGGCGGACAGGAGGAGGAGGTCTAGGTGAGGGCGCCGCTGGTCGGTGTAGAGTCCATCGGCTGCTGACTGTGCAACCGCCGGTGGTTGCGGTGAAGGTGTTCGCGATGGGCTGCTCATGGAGGGATGGTTGGGCGCAAATACCCTCAGCGACGGCGCTGCGGGCGGTGCCCCGAAGTAGGATGAAAGCTTCTGCTTCACCAGCTCCTGCAGCGACGCCATGTATGTCTTCAATATCCCCGACTTCTCGTAGACGCTGAGTAGCGGGATCCCAGCCGCTGCGGACCAGGCGCAGAGCTCGGCGACCTCGTCCATCAGTGCTTCCAGTCCGCCATCCTCCTCCGACTTGAACTTCAATATCACGCTCAGGTGTTCTGGTAGGCGGTCGAGGTTTTTGACATCCTTCTGAATGTATTCCGGGGTGCGGTGGTGATGGTGCCTGATGCCGAGCAGGCGGTAAACCGTTGCATGGTAAATCTGGCGCAGGCGGATGTAGATGCCAAAGATGAGCTGAATGAGGACGAAGACGAGGAAATGCAGCTTCGCCTTCAGGAAAGGCCGCACCCTCGGCCGGTGGTGTCTTCTGGATTTTTGGCGTTGAGAGGTATTGTTGTTGGGCGGTTGTGAGTCCACCTGCGACGATTCTGAGGGCGGCGGAGGAGGGAGATAGGGTTGCAAGAGCCTCTCGCGCTCTGCGGCTGAGAGAACTCGGCCGCCTGAAGCGACATCTCTGCGGTAGACTTTGGTGTCGGCTTCGTTGAATGGCGGCATAGTGAAGTGGTTAGAGGTGAAGCTTTCGAAGTGACCCGGATTTCAGAGGGAGGAGATCATTTGCCCTGAGCGCAAAACGGCAAGCAGAGTTTAGTAGGGCATATTCAGAATAGAATTCAGTAACCAGACGTCAAATTCAGGGCGTCTTTTGTAGTCTGCATTTGACACGGGGAATTGGCAGCCTGCAGCGGTATATTGTTTTGTGCCTCGTATGGAACACAATTATTCCATTTACGGGGGCCTCAACAATCAACGATGGTCCCGCTAATCGGCAATCCCCGTCGAACATGCATGATGACGACGCTTGTGACGCTGCTCTTTTAGAGCGACGCACGAACACAACTACGAGCTCGCTACGAGGTACGAGGAGACATGGGCTCAGTACCTCGTACTCCATAAACTACATCGTACTCCGACTTCTATGTATTCCTTCCTCTTCAGCCGTTCTCTCGCTCCGCTCGCCTGCACAGATCTCGTTTGTCGTGCGGCTCCGCGGCATACGATCCTCCCTACGAGAGGAAGGCAAAATCAATTGTAGCCTCATCTCCATCTCTCCCAATCTGCGCCAAATCGAACCATGAATAACAGGGTCACAGTTGACAATTCATGCCGACCCTGTCTATGCTCCTATCCACAACCAGCTCTCAAGCGTGTCATGACATCGGGTACCAATGGGATGGTCTGTATAATGATGACATTATACAGGCCTTGCCGCCACATGATATGCCAAGTGACTCGGTCGATTGTGTATTGTCAATCAGCTCCAGAGGGAAATGATGCCAACCATGCCTCAACACCTAAAAGCCCTTCGGATTGCCACCGCGCTCGTTACTTTGCGAAGTGCTCGCGGAATTTTTGATGGCATTTGAGCCAGAAGAATCGCTGTCCTCCTCGCCCTTCTTCTGTCGTGTTTTATCCCTAACGTGCTCTCACCACAAGCAACTGAATGCATATAAGGCACCACAAGTACCATCTTACCTTTGTCTGCAGCCGTCCCGGATGGAGCCGATGTCGTCTGGGTCATCGCCCACCATCTACGGGTCGGTGTCGAACCGCGGCAACATTAGATTCAGAGCCGAAGAAAGGGATTCGTCGTTTCGTACCCAAAGGGGCCAAACACACATTTCACGGCATCTTCATACCCTAGTTCGCCGTTTCGGTTTCCAACAGCGCCGATTTCGAGAGCAATTCTCGTCATTTCGCCTCTCTATTTGAATTTTCACTCTGATACCTTTCAGATTGTCGTCGAGAAGGCGCCTGCTCTCATAGAGCAGAAGTTCCAGTAGCCACAGAGCATACAACAGAGTTTTGCCGATGAGATGAGCGTACTTTTTCTTTTGACAAGCCCACCGACGTTCATTCGACTCTAGCTTATATTGTTACCATAACTCATTTTTCTCACCGAAAATGCCGTTCAAGAGGCGTTCGTCAGCACAATATAGCCACCTCACAAAATGTTCAATATCTTCAGGCGCAGAATTAATCAAGTTTTTGGAAAGAAGAAATATCAAGAAATCTTCATGCCAGATAGGTTCGGCGTCTCTTCCCTCTGTAAGCTTATCCAACTCTTCGTGTTCGAAGTCTACCTTGGGACAGTATACCGCGTCGAATCCGCAACCTCTGTAAGGGAATACGTAAGCGATATCCCGTCCTTCTCGAGTAGAAAAGACGACGTGTAATGTATCAGCCGTATACCGATGAGAAGCATCCTTTTAAGGGTTCGGCGCCGACATACGAAATATGAAAAGGATGCATCCCACTGTGCTGATAGGGCTCAAAGACTTCAGGGCCTGACCCCACGACGACCAAATCAAGACTGTGGTCGCGCCGAGCATCAATAAGGAAAGGAATATGTACCCTCCAAAACCAATGAAACCATACCAGTCTAAAACATCAGAGCAGTTCTCAGAAGACGATGCGTGGGAGACCGCCGGTGATAAGACAGCGTTCGCCATACACATGTCCTTGTAATCCGAGAAGTGGCTGCTGAAATAGCTGTATACACTTTGTACGATTTTCTAGTTAGCAATGGAGAGAAATAGCGGAATAGTGAACATAAACGTTAGATGAATTGGCCTCTTTTTGCGGGAAATCAAGCGTGACAGTCTGGTCATCATGCTCGCCTTTCGGTATCTGGAGCTTTTGTACAGAACGTAAATGGCGCAAAACCCAACGATCGATCAAACGGAGTGGACAACCCCAGGTCGACCAGTGGCAGAGATAATTGGGGAATTAACATGCACCAACAAAGAGGAGGATCCAAGGCATAGCCGCAACTGCCGATTGGCATTGAAGATATCAATCTCGACAGACCGGACCGATCTTTTTGCTGTCCCACGTCTCCTCGAATGTTGTACAAAACAAAATAGCAGTCCAGATCGAGGCGATAGCTAGTAATACAGCGCTGAAGATGAAATCCGCACAGATGTGTCTCTGTCTCTTCAGCTCGAACCCCCTGACTCGCTGTGCCTGATGGAGCATGTGATGTAAATAAAGATCGATGCCGAGACGACAGCAGGCCCAGCCATGGCTTCCTTGTTATCTGATTCGTCTTCGGATATGATTGTCACATTGAGAACAATGGGAATTGAATAGGCTCGACTGGTGAAAGTGTAAAGACTTTGTAGATGATACTGCGAGCCATACTGTTATCAAGAGACGCTCCGAAGAAAGACGACTGTCATCTAGGAGTAGTCTCAAGAAGATCCCATTGGATCTGATATCTATTGTGCTCTTAAACCTCTGAAGAGCGTCTGCCATATTGATATCAAAATATCGGTGTTTTGGCATCGTGTACCCAGTAAGTGACGTCTGATTAAGCCAGCCACATTGTCATAAGTCGAAGCTCATATAGTACGAGGGTTGTGATTGGCAAGGATGATCTGCTTTCAGGAAAGTGTACACGACCCTCTATCTGTTCTTTCAGTTATGCATCATTTACCTCGCTTCCCACGCTTGGAACAATCTGCCATCACGTGTTGCTGGTGGCAGCGACGTATCATCTTCGCGGATGCTGGCGAAGAGTGCAGTGACATCTTTGGCAATTTGGAGGTAGACCATCTTGCGCTGTCACTATCAAGATTGGATTGGATGGCAGTTAGTTTCAACTGGTGTTTGCTAGTTCGTTGAAATATACTGTTCACTGAAAGCTGACTGCTGCGGAGGGTTGGTTGGGATTTTGGCTCATGCATTCGTGGCTTGATCGTGTGTTGTTCCGCACCCAATGGATTCAACGAATGCGGGCAGTTCGTGATGCAGATGTGGTCTGTGTTGCTCGGTGTCAGCATCAAAAGAGGATCAGGACGGTACTTGAAAGAGCAGAAGGGGGAAAGAGAGGGAAACAGAAGCTTCAAGATGCAAAAGGCGCTAGGCACGGGCCGGTGTTGTTCGGCGTTGGGCTTGGCACGCCAAGCAACGACAAGCCGCGGCTCACATTTTACCTCGTCGCTAGGTGAGTTCCCAAGGTTTGATATAACGACAATCTCTTCAGTGCCACTAGCACTTACCCATGGAGAAGACAACGAAAGGTGACGAAAGAATCCCCAAGTAGCGCCAGTGCGGAAAAGGGGGAAACGGGGAAAGGGGGGAAAAGAAATGGAGAAAGAGGACGTCAAGTTAGAAAACCAAAGATGGCCTCAGTGGCAGCACCCCATGATCTTCACTTCACATGCTGCTTGCGCGGTCTTGGAAGGATTGGTTCATCCAACAAATTGTCGCGTGCAGAGAGTGAATTCTGAGCCATGTCATGTTGATTCCTGGTCACCTTGGTTTCGCGAGTGGGCCCCATGCTACCACAGGCAAGTTTCTCTGCCCCCCAATGAATTCTCATTTGTGCCTAATCATAAGGCCATGATTGCTTTGGACGCGGACCATGCAGCCTCGCTTGCTTTGCTTGATCATTGCGTCTCGAGGAAACTGTGGAATATGTAGAGTTGATGCTTTTGTCAACCTCGACATCTGCCAACTTGATTCGAGCCTCATTACTACCGCACCATCATGTGGCAGGCACTATCTAGACCCTACTACTGTGTGCCAGGCAATTCACGTACCTACTATCCCTCATACGACGCCTATTTTGGGTTTGTTGACGACGGCGAGGCTCCTCCAAGGTTAGTGCGTGCCTGCCCCGTACCTCGCCGTCACATCCTCTCGCCAACACGACAGCAGCCTTCTCATCTTACCCTCGCCATGACGGCCCGTTCAACCTGGATCGAGCGTGGTCCAAACGGCCGTCCTTACCTTGTCAGAAAGAAGTCAGATATGCCCTCTACAAGGCAACTTCTTTCCCAGACATTGCTCCGTCGAAGCGCTCGCTCACTCTTCTCATCTAGGGACTCGCGCCAGAATCACCACGTCCAGTGCGTCACTGCTGCCGACGGCCAGCTCGCTCTGCCTGCGCCCACCTCACCCAACCCTCCTGCAGCTCCAAGTACTCATCCGGCTGCTCCAATGGCTCCCACCTCTCAGCCTCAACCGCAGCCTGTCACCATGTACCTTCTTCCTCCCCAGCACAGTCAAAATCACTCAGACTCCCAAGAGAAAAACAATAGTCAAGAACATGCCACAAATCCACCAGGCCAATTCATCCCAGCACCTCCTCCGCCGGGCATTTTCCCAATCGGACCATTCCCACCTCACCCAATGCCACCTCCGCCGCCGAACTTTTTTGCACCACCCACGCAATTTCCATCTCAACTTCAGTCGTTCCTGGCCACACCACCAACTGTGCCACCAGGTGTACATACAAGCACAGTCCCTGCACCGACGCAGCCATATGGACCCCAAATTCCGCTCCCGGGTCCCATAACCACGCAGGGGGAAGCGAGATACAAGTGCGAAATATGCGGGCGATATAGGTCTGCTCGTTATCACTACAAGCATCCAATTCAACCAGGACAACTTCCTGGCAAGACGATCTGTCGAAAATGCAGGGAGGAGGCGACGGACAGTGAAGAAGGCGATAGTTCAGACAGTGTTCAATCGCGCAGATCACGACACAACCATTCGCGTGCACAACCACGGCGAAGCACATCGACCTACAGGTCACGGAGGCACCGATCGCGAAGTCGAGCTCGATCAAGAGGTCACCCCAAGCTAATCAACTACGACTACGGACCGTACAGGGTTCCGTCATTTACGGACTCGAGCTCATCGAGCCACGAGGAAGAGCCACACAGTGCTCGGAGTCGAAGATATCGCCGCCCCGAAAATGCATACGCAGGGTTGGCCACGCGCACTCGGCGACTTCGCCTCTCCCCCCTGGGAGAGCGTACCTACTATGACGATGATCGTGGAGGACGTAGACGGAATTACGAGGATGGTTTCAAGGACAGAGAACATGATGGTGAGACTGTTGGGAGACTACGATCACGCTCGAGACAGCCAACACGGGGCCTGAGAATTCTTCGAAGACAGTACTCAGATCCCTTTGTCAGGACCCCGTCAATCGAAAATCCCGCAACAAGCCGGCAGCCCTATTTTTGGGGACCGCTGCATGCTCAGCCACGAGAAGGTTATTCTCCCCAACGCGGACCAATATCGCCCCGGAGCAAACATCCGTCCATGTCCACTCACCATGCTACACACCGCTCACGGAGCATTGGTGATTCTGAGAACGACCATGAAGCTGACCAACGAAGGCCGATACGGCTGCGATCCAGATCTGCTCGGCGAGGTCGCGACCACGACAGACATATGATGCATGGGGATGAGGGTAGGCATCTTGACCTTAGGGTGGTTTCCTCGCAAGGTGTTGGCTGATACTAACTGGAGAAATGCAGACGACAGTCAGGAAGAGAATAGCCGTCTAGGGATACATGCGCCTAGTCCACCGCCCATTCGTTCGTCCTCCTTCGGATACATGGGTGCAGCTGAATTTGGCGAGGGGGAGCGTCGGCAAGGTCGCTCTAGAAGAGGCCGACATCGACGGTCACGGTCCCGATCCCGGGAAGACGAGCACTTAGGGTCTGGAATCTTGCGGCCCGGGGATGAATTGACAGTGATTGAAAGACACGAGCCAAGAGCCCGGGAGGATTATGACTGGTATGATGGTGGTGGGATGAGGGTCAGGGTGCGCGAGATTTCACGGTGAAGGAAAGGGGTCAGCTGTCCAAAAGCGAAGCAATTTGCGACGTAAACATGAAATAGGGATCATGTTGCGCAGCGTTTCTTACGATTGCAAAATTCTAACACTATGGTGGGAGATGGGAGGGAGAAGCGCTGGTCGCCACTGGGTGCTATGGCTCCTGGCTCGACCGAAAGAAGTAAAGCGGGGGAAGAGGCCTCTTATGACTTACTTGTAGACATAGTCTGGACCCGGCCAGACCGGATTAGGCCGGGCATGCAATACGCATCGAGAGCAAAACTCAAAGAGGAAGCTACAGCAGACGGATCGCAGAGAGCGAAACGCCACGAGTCTTAAATCGGAGAAGACAAACGAACTTGTCGGTCCAAAGCAGCCGTGCAAGCCGAAATGGATTGGAGTGCGCAGGATGTGATGAGAATAAGTTTCCTGGGCCATTCTCTTGGCGACTTTAAGAGTTTGACGTAAAATCTGAACAGCTCGGTGGCGGTAGACGAACCGTGAGCAAGTTGCACCCCAGTCTGTATTCGGCTCGCCGGCTCTTCGTTAGTGCTGTCTCATGATGGCTTTCGAGGGCGTGAAACGCCCCAGAATCAACAGGGGGGAGGATGTAGGTGAGGGAGAAGGACGCGATGGGATTTTGCAGTGGCTGGCACGCGGGCTGGCTGGCTGGTTTGCTGAAGAAGGAGGACTAATTACTTCGCTTCTGGGGAGGGAAAAAAGAGGCTTTCAGCTAGACAAGGTCAAAACCACGTGGGCATCTCGAGATCTTTTGACTAACTCTATTAGCAAACTTGTGACGAAAAGTCAGAATGGTGATGGATGTGAACATGGGACATATCAAGCGAAAGTTTGGGCGCCGCTACGGACCACGGTTACGGAAGCGTCGAGTTCTCAGCCAGCGCCAACGTCAGCGCCAGCGCCGGCTCCATGGCTGGAAAGGGCTGGGGACCAGGATGCCAGGATAGAAGGAATTGAAATTCCAGACTAGCAGTGCTTGGCCTTTTGATAGTCGCAGCCAAAGCAGTTGGAGGATCACACCACGTCTTTCCTCATTTCTTCATTTGAACAGCGAGCAGAACAATGCACAAGTGTCTCGCATGCCTGCTGGTCAATCAGAGATTGTGAGGGACGACAGCAACTGCGGATCCGTGGTCCGAGTTCTGAGAGATGGCGCCAGGACAGGCGACTAGTAGAAGGCGAATGCGAAAGGAAGATAAGGTCAGACGATTGGAGTCGCTACCAGTTGCAGGCGAGCTCGAGGGCGATACGCTAGTGCTGCAGCACCCGAGCCATTGAGGAGAGAATGCGGAGCAGAATGGATGGATGTTGAAAGGGACTAATTGATCTGGACTCCAGAGATCATGTAGTATTGTCTGATTTGAAACGATTGAAGACGAACGAAGGAGCAAGACACAGCCGTCCATGGCTAAAAGCATCCAGAGACTCGGAGCAGACAATGAAAGACTGAAAACAGGACAACAGCGTCTCATTTACCCAGTACTTTCTGCCTTTCTGGGGGCCAGATCGGCTCCAGGTGGCTTGCCTCATGCGCCAGAGTCAGAGAGTCGAGGACTGCTGGTTCGGAAAGGGCACAAGTCGCCCAGATTCAGTGCTTGCGTTGTCGATCATATTATGGGGGTCAAAAGCGTCTGAACTCTGAATCAAAATTTAGTCCAAAACCTTGAGCGCATTAGGCGTTGAGTTAGTACCGAGTGGTTGGACAAGATCTAGGCCGTCGAATACTGAACTTGCCTAGGTAGGTAATTGTGAATTGGCAGTGGCGCCAGCAGTGTGCCTTGTGCAGTTCCCAGAAGCCGCTTGTGCCGGCAACTTCCAGAGGAAAGAGGAGAAAAGGGAAGGGAAGGAGGTCGCCATGATCCGGGGCTTGTTCCACCGAACTCAAATCTTCTTGCTCGTACCGAGTACCTTTTTGCTTGGCTTTGGGCGGCCACGAGAAGAAAATACCCAAGGGAGATAGGCATGTTTTCCCCCGAGGACGTCCAGTCTTGTTCGAGAAGGATGGGCGTCATGGGCGTCATGGGCATCATCGGGGCCACTGATGGGTCAACCATGCTGAGCGTTTAGTTAAGAGAGCCAAGGCTGGTGGCCCCTTGACCCTAAAATGCGGACTGGCGGGGGTGGTGCAACTCGTCCCTCTTGAGTTTTGGGGCGCCTCTCTCAGCGTTTGCTTCTGTCTGCACCTTCCAGGCGCCTAAAAAGTCCCATGTCAAGTCCAGCTGCCATCTCCACACTTTACCTCGACTGACCATCTCGACGACCATGGCCATTTGACCAGGGATAATCCATGGGCCCATCCCATCCTTGTTCTCTTCCTCTCTCCACCGACTCGCGCACTAACCTCCCTCAATTGCCTGCACTTTTGTCAAGCTGCTCAAGCTGCTTCTCTTTTCGACACTCGCCACCCGTCACCTCAATCCTGGTACAAACTTTTCGACTTCGACACCTTGGTTTTCATCACATCACATTGTACCCAGTAGCTCCTGGCAAATTCCGTTCCCAACAAAACACGAGACACATCTCTTATCTGCAACTCACACTTTGGTGCGAAGATCTGTCCTTCCTCCTTCCATCCTGCACCGCCGTTCTGGATGACGATCCCTCCCCCCTAAAATCCCACTTGTCCTTAGTAAACCAGCTGCGTGTCTAGGTCTGGTGGCTCTGCGAGATGCCTTTTGCCCTCTGCACTTCTGAGCATTCAACCCCTGCGTATCCTGACGCTCTGACTTGTTGGCAGGGACAATGCGAATTGCAGGCCCTTGGACGCGGCATTCGGGCCCCTATCATCGCCTTTTTCTCGCCTACGCCTTCGCAAGCTAGGTCTAGTTCTCCTCGCTTGCTATGCCGTCTTCCAGCTCGATGCTCCTCGCTGGGTAGCTGACGGTGACACGTAGTCCTCGCTCCTTTGTACTTTCAGTGATATGGCACCTTCGATTTCAGCAACATGGGGTGTAATTCAGCCAGTGACAAGACTGCACGAACCAAACAGCCACTGAGCCAACCTCACACACTCGGTCCAATGGTCCAGGTCGTTGCGCCATCTTCTCGTGTCCGTCAAGCCGTCGCAATTATTCTTAGCATCCACCCCTGCATCATCTGGCACCTTTTCGGTTTGGGCTTTTTTCTCGACCAAGGGAATCCGCGGCTGGCCTATGCAAGCTACTCTTCATCCTTGTTGGTCCCCGGCTCGCCGTTTCGCGCACCCCCGATCCCCCTCGTCCCGACCCTGCAATGTGGTCGACCCTCCTCCCCGGGTCGTCCATTCCTTTTGTCTAAGCTAAGGAGAGGGGACTTCTGATGTCTGTCAATACGAGCAGAGCCAGACCCTGTCCTCCTCCCCCTTCGGTCGCAACCTCGTCTATGACTCCCGGCGACCTCAGAATCCAGATCTATCGCTTAGCCATGTTATGTCTGCTGCCTTCCCAATTGAGGTGTCGTCCCCCCTGCCCTACCACACTGAATAAGAAAGCGATTACCCGAATAGGGACGCGCTTTGCAAAATTCTCGCTCCAGAGTTGTTCGGCCGTGAGCTAACCGAGCTCTTGCACTACGAGCCCAGAGGGCAATTCTACAACACGACGGGTCTGCCCAACCAAACGCCGAGAAGGCCATTGATGGTGTTTCGTGTATGGTTCGTGGGGTTTGTGGCCGTAACGGGGTCATGCAGGGGGCTAAGACTCGCAGTCCACACCAGCAAAAGCTGCCACAAGGGCCGCCGGCGCCTCGCCCTCAGTCAACGGTGGTGGCAGTGGCCGACAAGTTGTACAGGTTCGGTTTCCTTGGGATTTGGGCAGCGTTATGCGAGGCGTCTAAAAGGCAGACTTCGGGGGTGGGCACCAAGACACACCGGTTTTGACCAGCCAATGACTCGAGCGGGCACCAGCGCCTCGTGATGCTAGGGTCCATTGACATGTCGACATTTCAGGCACTAACTCTTGTCGAGCATTGCCTTCGGATCGCCCTGTCATAGTCATCTGGAGCTTGACACGGTCCAAGAAAAGGTCTAGTATGCGGCTCTGCTCAGTCCTGGGAGGGAGGAGGGAGCCTGCCCTGGTTCTGACTGGCCGGCCGGCCAAGGTTGGTTCCTCCTCCCCTTCCTCCCTCCCCCCGGCCATCGTTCATGGCGCACGCTCGTGTCAATCAGTGCACTCCTCCCCGTTCCGTGATGGTGCTCTTGCTGCCCCCCCTTTCTACTTTCTCCTCGCTTGATAGCTGTTGTTTTATCAACTAGAAGACGTCGAGGACGACCCACCCACATGTGGTCTTGATCATATAGTCCAAATGCTCGTCCCTGATACCGGTGGCCCATAAACTCCCTGCCTCGCCCAACACCTCTCTCTCTCTTTCTCTACCTGTCAGTGCCACCTATACTGTCGGTGGAACATCACCTTTCCATACCGTATACTGTACCTTGCAGTCTGCGGTCCAACCCTCATTGGTGGTTTGGCTGGCACATCATGCATCGTCACTCACAGTATCACGACCTGCTCGCGAGTGAGGGCCCAGAGTTTGGGTTCGGAGATGCTCCCGACGACTACGAGACTTCCATGCAATACTGGTGCAACTTCGGAGAATTCCAGCTCATTGACCCCCAACTCCATTCCCTCTCGCTGCATGATATGAATGCCCACTATCAGAGACCGATGGAAGGTCAACATCCATATGCCGCCTACGACCCGATTGCCCATGGCTTCAGCCACCGGTATTCACGGGCCGCTGTCCACAGCCTCCTGCCTCAACTGGGCGGTTTTGACCCCGACCAGAGCGAGATTGAGCAGCTCCGTCATCTGCGTCATTTCTCTCCGACCGATTCCTTGGGGATCGCTCTCTCAAGCAACAGCGACTCGTCCGTCAGCGACTATCCGCTCAGTCCCGAGGCAGTTCGGAGTTCATTTAACGTTCCCTTTTCCAACTCAAACCAGGAATTTTACGGCGTCCCCATGGCAGCCGCATCGTCCACTAGCCTCAGCTGGAACCAGCAACCCTCTTTCATGTCACCTCACCCTCCCACGCCTGTCCCGGCCAACCACACGGTCCCCAGCATGAGATATCTCCAGGTCACGCCAGATCCAGACCATGACGATGAGACCGTCGACGACAGGGAGGCTCTCCACTCCAAGATCAACTTTCCCGTGGAGCTGGAGATGTCGGAGCAGATTGTCAGTCCTCCCGACTCTGGGCTTGACCAATCAGTCCACGACGATGAAACAATGAAAGATGAAGAGGAAGACTCAGGGGCGATTGAGTCAGACAACGATTCCGAATTCGTCCCCCAAAGGAATACACCGCGTCGCCAACATGGCACGACCAGACGCCACTCTATGCGTGAACCACGACGTGCGAGATCGGTTATCGACCCTAGGGCTCGGGTGCAGAAACCCACCCACGCCGGCGAAATGTCCCACAATGGCAGCTCGCGCCCCAAGTCCAAGAAGAAGCATGTATTGCTCAAGAAAGATGAATCCGACTCCAAGCACTTTCCTTGCGCCTTTCACCATTACGGCTGCTGCGCCACGTTTGGCAACAAAAACGAGTGGAAGCGACACGTCGCCTCTCAACACCTCCAACTCGGATACTACCGGTGCGACATGGGCTCTTGCTCACCAGAAACGGCGCGGACCCAGCACAAGGGGTTCAACGATTTCAATCGCAAGGATCTTTTCACCCAGCATTGCCGCCGCATGCATGCCCCCTGGTCCGGAAGCAAGAAGGGCGAGGAGGGCGTATCCAAGAAAGAGCGAGACAACTTCGAGAAGCAGCTCGAGCATATCCGCGCCCGTTGCTGGGTTGATCGGCGAAAGGCCCCCCAGAAGACCAAATGCGGATTCTGTGGGAAGAAGTTCGTCGACGGCAAGGAGTGCCGCGGCTGGGAGGAAAGGATGGAGCATGTTGGCCGACACTTTGAGAGGGACAACTTGAAGAGCAAGGATGAAGATGTCGATGATGGGCTCAAGCAGTGGGCCATCCGTGAGGGTGTTGTGAGAGAAGGGAAGAAGAAGGGCGAGTTCTGGCTTGTAGGCTTTGAACCTGTGCAGCCAAGTCGGCGTTCACGTGGCCAGAGAAGGAGCAGCAGACTAATCAAGGAGGAGGAGATCAAGCAAGATGAGGAGGTGAGCCACAATGACGACAATGACGATGACGATGACGAGAGCGGCAGCAGCGGGGACGATGGAGACAGCATTGAGGCGAAGCGAGCCGACGCCCTAATGAAGACGGAAAATAGCGATCAAGAGGACACTGATGCCGAGGCTGAAGAAGACGATGGATGAGACGTTTCGGCAATACGGTCTTGTTGGTTGATGCAATAAAGGTGGCGGCGTTATAGGATTTGCTGACACTGCTGAAAAAAATGGAATTTCAAAATGTCTTGGGGTCAAAGGACATGTGTGACGGATATAATGATACCCCTCTAGGTCTTGGGAAAGGAAAAAAACAATCGGGATCTCCTTGTATTTCACACTTGCAACATGACTTTGTGAGGAAACATGCAAACAAAAAAAGCTTTTGCCGTCAATAGTTCTCGTTGTACAGACTCGGCAAGGGGGCTCTTTGGCTGTGATTGGTTCAAAGACGAAACGCTCAACGACAGCCTCGTTTGAAAGGCGCCGTCGTCTCTCCTCAGTGTCTGGTCCGTGTTTTTTTACGTTTTGCCCTTTTGTGTAGCCATCGCCCAGCAAATGCCTTTGCTTCCTCTCCTTTATGCTGCTGCAGGTGCAGATGTCAGCCAGCCTCGTACACGCCTGAGATGCTGAGTGTCGCTTTGTTTCCCGCCTATGAAGTTTTTGGGTTTCTAAGCGCCTTAGTTAATATCTTTTGTCCCCTGTCGGAGTGGAAACAATTGAATAAACCGCTGGTCATCCAAGGTTCTTTCATCCTTTATCACTCATTCCCTCTCGGCCTATTTCTGTTGTCTTTATTCCCCTGCCGCCTATGCTACTGACTACCCCCACAATATTTCCCATCCAAAAGCTGTCGCTTTAGGCATCCAACTTGATACACCCCTTGATCCAACATAGAACCCTTAAAATTCCTCGCACTCTCTCAAATTTTTACCAACTCCGACTGAAGAAGTTTCTACAACATCGACTAAAGCCAAGATGAATTCCCTAATCAACCTTCTCTCGCTTGCTGTAACAGTGTCCACCGCTGTGGCGGCTTCTCCATCCAAGCCCTTCACCGCCCACCGCCTCAATCATCGGGGCAATGCCAACACCGCGGCGCCTCCCGACCCTGTGCGCCAACTCCTCTACATCGCCCCAGAGTCAAACACGTGCAGTGGCGCTACATACCCAAACGAGTGCGCTGTGTCCTCTATGCCCGTCATCCAAGCCATTGTCAATTCCTTCGCCAAGTACGACGTCACCACGGCCGAGGAACAAGCCGCGCTCCTGTCCTGGATGGTGTACGAAAGCGGACAGTTCAAATTCAATCGCAATCATTTCCCGGCCCCCGGGAAACCGGGGCAAGGAACGAGAACCATGATGTCGCCCGCCTTTGTGCAAGAGTATGCCAACTCGATCCCTGAACTCAAAAGCAAAGTTGCCGCGATAGGCACGGGAGCGAGCTTGAGCGACGCCCAGGCCGACCAGATTCTGGCTCTAGTGCAGCCGGACCATTACTCCTTCGCGGCTGCGGCGTGGTATTACGGCACGCACTGCACGGACGCCCAGAAGACACAGATCAGGCAGGGCGGGCAGCAGAACTGGCAGACGGCGTTTATCACGGGCTGTGTGCAGACGACGATTGACGATGACAGAATTGCTTACTGGAAGAAAGCGTGTCAAGCGCTGGGGGTGAAGGTGACGCCGTAGATGAAGCCCGTCATGAATAAATATGGATTCGGAGAGTCTGACCTTCGGCGACCTGGTGCGCACTCACATTCGGATCGATAGTCCTCCATACGAGGTACGAGGTACATACATTGCACAGCCACCACCACTCAAGCATGGATTCTGAACGCACAGTTACGCCCCGAGGCTGTGCAATGCCGCTCGTCATGCTTTGGTTGTTCTCCCTCTTCCTACTCCCTCCTCTTTGTGCTGTTTCTTTTTTTCTCTCTCTCGTCCACCATATCGCTCTTAGAAGATGTCCAAGAAGTACAATCCGGCCCACCAGGCTTGGATGAACTGCGCTACCTCCAGTCAGCAGGCAAAATGTCGCAGCTAGGTGGTGAGGTCCCAGAAATAACCTGTGTTCAGCCTCAACCCAGTTGTCACCGACTCCCACCATGGCGCTCTGCATACTGGCAGTGATCCTTTTCTTCAGCCTCCCTCCGGACTGGCCGCACCTCCGAAGAATCAGACAACATCCGAGACCCTCTTTGCTCCGCCAGGGGTTGCCAAGCCGCACGCGCGAGGGACTTGGAGCACCATCTCTAGCTCCTTGTTCTCGCTCTTCTTGTTTTTGCGCAGGCCCAAATTTGAGGCTGAGGTCTTAGTATTTGACCCCAGGATATTGGGTAATTCTAAAATGGAGAAGACCCCGCAAGCCGACGCCATTGTAGACCGAGCAGAAAGTGGTGAGTTAATATGCTCAAATAGCATTAGACGCTCCGAGAGCAGTACCCAATCTGGTCGTGATGACGATATGTCACGGTCAAATCAAGGTCAGGGTACGCAGTTGCAAGAGCTTCAGGATGATGGGAGAGAGGCGGAGTGCTGCAGCGTGTTCTCCATATATCCACCCGAAAACATCGAAACCGTCCTCACACTTCACACTGGACAAAGTCTGGTCACAGGCGTTGGTCCTGCTTCTCTGGACTGTTTCTCTGTTGATTCTTTTACCGATCAAGACCCGGGAGGATATCAACGTTATATTACCAAGTATACCAGTAGTAGTGAGAAATAGATTTATCTTATTTGGATGGAATCCAATTTTACAGAATAAGCTTTGACCTGTCAAACCAAAAAAAAGGATCTTACTCGATGGGAGCGTGCCGTGCGAGCCCTTGAGCAGGTTGTATTGAAGCCCTCGCAGGCCGGGGGAGAGATAGGAGGACAACAAGCTGGGCCACCATTGATATCCCTTCAGGACTTCTCGGCTTTTTATCGTGACGCACACCCGGCCCAGACAGTTGCAAAGCACAGCAAGAACTTCGACCCAACCCTACTTGACGCCGTCTTTGACGATTCCAGGGATCCGACCGACCCGATGTTTGTTTGCGTCAATATCGTTGGTTGTGTCTACGCTGAGGTTCACCTCACCCTCTGGAGTCATGAGTTTCCAACACCAGATGAGAGGGCGCCGCAGAGGTCGTCGGCAAGCCTCGACTGGTCAAGGTATATACCGCATTGTTAGTAGCTCGGCCGGAAAGGGAATGGAAGGCATAGGTTACGAAAGGAGAGAGAGAAAGAAACATTAGACGGGTGATGCGCTGCATATCGGCCAACTGTTTCAACGCCTGAAGAAAGAGTAGGCCGTCTTCTCGTCAGTGCCTCAATTATATGAATCTGTGTTATCACCCTTGCTTTAACCGTTGGATTTGCTTGTCTGACATATATGTGTGTATATCGTCAACTAATACCGCACGACTCTGACGCCCTTCCATCGATAGAACAAATCTCACAATTTAAGTGCCTTTTATCTCTGACGGGTCCCCCCAAGGAATGGTGATCATGCTCAAACATGACGAGTTCCTTGCGTTTGAGTGGAACAGGATGACGGGGTGCAGAAGTGGAGAGGTGTGTGCGTGGTGCGGGAGTACATCACCAACTATCCGGACCTGGGATTATCTTTACAAGGCGATAAATCACGTACGCCAGAACGAACAATGCCGGGATCACGATGATAGAGAGAGCGCAGGGATAATCACCTGATGCCTGCGTTCGCGTTGTGGAATGTGGCGTCAACGTTGTCTGGAGCAATGGCTGTCGTTCACGCTGGTGTTGATGTCGATACTGGAACTGCTGGTGGTGGTAATAGTAGTATCCCGCTGAGGATAATAGGCTGCGATCTTGCTGTGTCTTGACAGGCTTGGTTAATGGGCCTGGCAGCGGAGGAGTGGACGATGTGAAGCTGCTTTGAGGCTGTAGCTGAGGAGGCGGCAGACGATCGTGAGTAGGTAGGGGTGAAGGCTGTGGTGTATATCTATTTCTTGAAAGTGTCGACTGGACTTGACGGGGATAATTCGTGATTCCCGAGCGACTTGCAACTTCCACGTGGTTTGGTAGGGCTTGAAACCGCGCAGGCAAGGAATGGGGCATGAGGAGGAGGAGATTCTGCGGCTTATTCGTGAGCCCGAACGGCTTTGGCGGCGAGTTGGGATCGACGATGTGTTGGAGTAGGTTCTCGTATGACGCCGCCGTGAGATATAGCCGCTTCCCTTGGACATTGGAGGGCTTGAAGGGCTTGAGAACCCGCCAGTCGGCCACAATTTCGTTATGCGTGTTGACCCACGACAACTTGGGCAGCTCGGCGTTCCCAGCCAGGTAGAGGGTGATGTTATGACTCTCCGGATGGGCTGGGCTGGGGTAGATGGGAAGGTATCTTCGGCGCCGGCTGGCGTCTTTGAAGTGCCGGGATTCAAGTCCCTTGCCGTCGAACGACGTGATCTTTGCTCATCAGGTATAGAAATTAGCATCTTGATTCTCCTCACTCTGCATTACTCCCTCTGTAAACCTATAAAGGTCCATGTTTCGGGGATGAAGTACCGTCAGCATTTTGATCTCATCGGTGTGGTCATCGACACGGATTATCAGGACAGGGTGATAGAAGCACCCGTCCGCGATGGAGGAATTCCGCAACCTCGCACGCTCAATCTGCCTTTTTCGCGGGAGGAAGAATACGTGGCCGGCAAGGACCTGGTGCCTTTGCACTTTATCCCTGCCCACATCCCTGTCGTTGCCTCCTCGATAAGGAGACGATTGTCGGTCTTTGCGAGTGTGCATGTTTCCCAACTATTCATGTGTCCCAAAAGATGTGATATTTTGCAGGCGAAACAAGAGAGACAGGGAAATTTCTTTTACAAATGAGCACAACTTACAGATGCAAGCCCTTACATTCTTTCGGGTATAAGAGAAATGGAGGCAGTCTGTCTCAGGTCGTTGACGAGGCTATCGAGTGGGGCGGCGAGGTTTAAGCGCCTATGCTATTCCTAGATAAGCCTAGTGGTTCACCACGTCTCGCTGGCAAGGCGGATTTTAGACTTCGCAGAATATCCGCTGCCGCCACTTAGAACGGTTTAGGCTAGGAGCAGAACTGGTTCCCGTTCTGCCTTGGCCCATGACACCCTCCCCCCACTATTACATCACAGCACTCCTACCTTCGATGGCCCTCATCCAGGCCTGTTCCAGTCCGACCTCATGCAACTGCTGACCAGTACCAATCGTTTAACGATGGCTTGCGTGGCGGATCCTTTCTGGAATCGGCCCTTTCTTGCGGTTTCTGGTTCTTTCTTGTCATGCCCTCGGAAGAGAAAAGTCCTGGACTGACTTGGGCGGACCAGACCGAAATACAGGATGGCGTTTACACTGCGCCTAAGTGCAAGGCTAGCTTCCTGGAACTACAGAAACGGGTTGTATTTGAAGACAAAAAAAAGGCTGGTCAATGACGAAGCTGCCACCGTCACAGATGGAGCGAACTGTTCACATGGAAGACAGGCTGCCGGTGCTTTCAAAGACAAGTTTAACGACTCGAAGGATATTACGCTGCAAGGCTTCCGGAATCGAAGTCTTCAAATTGTGTGTTGCCTGTAAAATATGAGAAAAGCAGCGATGATCTTATTTTGTTTCGCATTCGTATGAAACACCCGAACTGCTTTCCTGGTGGTTTCTATGCGGAACAGAATAGATCACACGCCCAAGGACGACGATGCCTGGGAGAGAAGATACCATCCGTATCATTACAAGCTGTCTTCTTGTTTTTTCACGGGACTGAAGGACGTCAGTGCTGCTGGGTTGTACTCGATAACCCTGTCACAAACAGCTGGACGCCCTCGCCGTCTTGAGTGGACGTGCGTGTCTTCAGGAAGTTGTCTAGCGAGTCCTAAGTCTTAAAGATGACCGTTGCATTTTCTGTAGATTGGTAACGACGTCAGGCTGCTCATTACAGGTCTCGTTAGGTTTCTCCTAAAATGTCGAGATGATGACTGCTGCGATCTGTACCTGTTCTGCGTCCAATTTGGTTTTCTTGTTTGCTGTTATTGTTGGCGTCTTTTTCTTTGTATCTGTCCGTCTCGATGCCTTTGCTTTACCTGATCGAACCGGCTTGAAGTTCTTTAGGAGTTCCGCCCTTGAACTCAGTGCTGAGGCTGGCAAATCGTATTAGAGAAGGGTCTCGAAGACGGCGGTTGCGTCTTCTATTGCCCTTACATCGCACAGCAGACACTTCTTTCGAGGTAGTCACTAAGTGGCAGGCCATCTCTGTCCGCGAATCCGCTTTAGGTTTTTAGAAGCTCAAAGGCTCTCATACCCGGCGTTCTTGACGCTGCTCCATTTTCGGGTTGTTGTGATGGGGCTGGTGCGAGAACAGCTTGTCATCTGGCCGAGAGTCTTCTGATAGCAACTGCCTGATTCCTGCTGCTTGTTGTTGAAAGTCAAAAAAGAACACTGTCTGTACTGTGCAGTTCGGGCGCTGAGGTGTCATAACCGCAACCCCAGGATCTGCTCTGTCCGGCCTGAAACCCGTTATTATTCACTCTGTCGTTCGTCGTCCTTGGTTGGTTGAACCTTTGGCATGTCGAAGGTGATATGGAACAATCATATTCGAACAATCCTCGACCTCGTGTCTTCGAGACGCTCCGACGCCGGCTATGATGCAGTCAACCAATAGCCATCCTTTCTGTTTTAGACTAAGCCTCCAATAATTCAGCTCTTTGTGATTGATGAAGCAGCCTCCAGTATGTCAATGCCCATTGTGAATTTTCTTAGTGGCCTCGCCATTTTGCCGGTAAAAGAAAGAGACAGCGTCTCGAATTCCTGGAAACTGTGAGCAAACTTTTTCAGCTTCCGCCCTTTCCACGGTTCGAATATTTTCCAGGGTGACATAGCATTGTAGAGATCGTCTGGGAACATCCCCGAGTAATGCGGTGATCAACTGTAAAATACTCGAGGTAATCTCCCTCATCACCGTCGGGCGTTGCAAGCGTGTGTCGCATATCTCCCCATGCGGACAAGCTGTTGAAGGAAAAGGGTGGGTGTTGGACGTAAGGGAAGATTCATGAACTCGTACGTGCTAGCTTCTCTAGCTTCTCTAGCTGTCTTGATACAGTGCAATTGTACTACTGACGTAGATGCCCCTAACTGTTGCAGCCTTGCCTAGCAGTTTGGGCTGGTTCAATTTCAAAGAGATCTGTCTGCACCCGAGGTATCGAAAAAGGCACCGAATAGAGTTTTCTATTATGGGCCACAGGGCTTAACGCATTGCGCATATTACTGGCAACAAATTTACCGGATAGCAGTGGATGATTGTTCTTTGCGTTATAGCAATTCTCTATTTCCCATGTTATATCCCGGCGACGCTTCGGACTACTGCGGTCCATGGATCTACAGGCTGGCCAGATCCACAGCAATCTTAAAACTTGGGAAGCACACGAGCCTTATAATTCGGCGTCTAGTTCTATCGCACTGTTTAAGAGGTGGTCCACAAAGACTGCAGCTGAGGCCAACTGTCCGCTTCGTCTGATCAGAAAATAAGTACTCTTGGGAGGGGAATCTCCAGCTCATATGATATGTTACCTCCATTGGCGGTCCAGGGCAACAATGAGGGGTGAGGTGCACTTCAAACCCTCACCGACAACTTTGTTAAAATTCATCATCTAAGGCACTGCCAATGCCGGAGAGCTCGTCAGGGCCGGGGAACCCCATCCAAGCGTTGAAGAGTAGATTCGTGTTGCCTTGCTGCATGTCTGGAAATAATTCGTGGGACAGCAATAACGGCTCAGGCGAAACCATCCCGCCGTAAGAGCGTTGGCCATCAGCTTGTCTGTTTCCCGGCTCTTCCAGGCTCGCGCGGCTTTCTAAGTTCGCTCCGAGAGAATCGTCTTCCTTAGCAAATGAATCAGCAGCATCTCGGCTGTCGTCGACGAAGCCTGCTTGAAGTAGAAGACTGTGTACAGACAGTCTTTGCCGGACTCTAGCATGCTCCGAAACTTCTCTTCCGTGTGAAAGACTTTCCTCTTCTTCAGCGATTGCCACATTATAGGACAAAGCTAGAGAAGCATCGTATCGCTGAATGAGTCCGTCAAGGTCCTTTAGCTATAAATAAGTCAGTCGCTGTAGGTTGCTCCAAATCGAATCTGTGGTGCTCACCATGGGTTTCACGCTGTGGGAAAAAGCGAACAAGCGTGACAAGATAGACAAGCAGGCTTTTGCTCTGTTGATAGCTAGCTGCATGGGGAGTCTCGGATTGCCTCCTGGAGAGTAAGCACCAAACAGCACCAGCCGGGTACCATGATATGCACACACGGCAGCGTCGGAGTCCAAGACCTGCATCTTATCGCTCTGCTCGCTAAAATCAATCAATGTCTGGATGATCTTTTCTGCATTCTCCAGACACTTGGTGCGCATAATCATTCTGTCTTTCACTGCCACAGCTTGGACATCGACTTGTGGGACCGCGTCCCTATATCCGGTCAGGAAGATGCGGTACAGGTCGCAATAGCACTGATGTAATGACATGTGGCACATCACAGTCTGAGGCCGTACGTGATACAGGACTGGACCGTCAGGGGTGAATTGGTCGAATGGACGAATCTGCGTCTGGCACTGCTGTAACTTGGTCTCAAAATTTCGAATGGAGCTAACAAGCTCTGAGGTGTCGATTTCTTTGAGATAGGCGCGTCTATTCAACCTAGAAATCTTGTGAGGAGCAAGTTTTTGACCAGCTCTGAGGCACATTACCTCATAATGGCGCGACGAATATACACCAGTCGAAGAAAAAGGCCCCGATCGTTGATGATTTCTGGTTCTCGCCCACCATCAGGTCTCAAGGGGCCAGTGGTTACGAGTCGTTCCCCTTCGAAGTCGGCGTCCGCACAAGGTAGCTGCAGCTGGATGGTGTCTGGCCTGCAAAGCTCAAATTCTTTTAATCCGACACAGAAAATGTCTTCCAGAAGATATAGAGACCAAAATGTCCGGCGACGAACTTCTTGTGCAACTACCCCGAGGTCCAAGCGCTCATAGTTGAGGCGGAGGGCCATTGCCAGTCTCGCAGCGAGGCCGGATAGCATGAAAGATGTTTGAAACTTCCCTGTGCCTGCAAGGTATCGGATTAGGAGCAACAATGCCTGCAGATGGAAGATGGATGGCCGTTCGAGGCTTTGGAAAATCACTTGTTGGGCCCTCTCGACCCAGGCATTGCTGGGCAAGAAAGTCCTACCGAGGTGCAATGCAGTGATTGCACATAAGGACAGCTTCACAGACTCATCTATCGTCGCCTCGTTACATCTTTTGATAACAGTGGCTTTATGAAGGAAATCGTAGGAGGGGAGGGGGTAAAGCCAGCGGAAGAATTCAGCAACGAGCTCAGTGACAGTCTCTGATGAGGGAGAAACTAATCCTGATACCCCTGGAGGTACCAGTCCATCGCCATTGTCTCCAAAATGTGGTCTGGGAGATGTTGATGGGGAAAGATCTAGGAAAGGCCTTTCGGAGGCCAAAGATTCGACATTGCTTTCTGGTGTTCTCGTAACCGTGGCATGCCCCCGGTTTCTTGTGATGGCCGGGTAGACACAGTCTCGGCCGCGACGCACACATGTCGAGCAGGCCGGCGTCTCCCCGAAACAGCGAATCTTGAGAGCCCTACAGGCGAGGCAAGCTTGTGTCCGACGACAACGCCTTGGAAGGTTTGGAGTGTGGATGCTAGCAGGGGTGTATGGCTGCTGAAAAGAACAGTCAAATTGTAGGCGGCTGCAGTGGTGGCAAACCGGATGAGTGCCGTCGCACTTAAC